CCAAGCCATTTAGGGCTTTATATGTCAAAACAAGCACTTTGAATTGAGCCCAGGCAGCAACTGGTAGCCAATGTAGCTTAAACAGAATCAGCTTGATATGTTCCCTAGCGGCCGCACCACTCACCAGCCTCGCAGCTCGATTCTGGACCAGTTGCAGTCGCCAGACCGTCTTCAAAGGCAGCCCCATGTAGAGCGCATTGCAGTAATCATTATATTGCTGCTGTTTTATTTTCAATCTCCTTTTAATGATACCTAGCATGGAATTGGCCTTCTTCACTGCCACCGCACACAGGTTTAACAATGTAACTGAGTGTCCACCAGCACACCAAGATCTCTTTCCTGATTCATCATGAACAGCTCAGAACCCATCAGTCATAAAGTTTTGATTTTGCCCCAATGTGCATTACTTTACATTTTCTTATACTGGAACACATTTGTCATTTTGCCATCCATTGTCCCAGTTTGGAGAGATCCTTCTGGAGCTCTTCACAATCCTTTCTGGTCTTCAGCACCCGGAAAAGTTTTGTGTCATCTGCAAACTTGGCCACCTCACTGCTTATCCCTGTCTCCAGGTCATTTATGAACAGGTTGAAAAACACCAGTCCCAGGAGAGATCCCTGGGGCACACCGCTTTTCACCTCTCTCCAATGTGAAAATTGCCCATTGACACCTATCCTGTGTTTCCTGGGTTCTCAACCAATTCTCAGTCCATAAGAGGGTCTGCCCTCTTTTCCCCTGACTGTGGAGTTGCCATATGCCACATCACCATCTTACTTATGACATCCAAAAATAAGTTGTTTCATTCTCCACTTTAGTAATTTCTTTGGCTTTCTGTGAAACCTTTATTTTAACTTTCAGTGTTTAAACTCTACTCTTCAACAAAATTCTCATCATTAGCTAGTGTCTTGACTGCTAAAATGGACGTATTCAACATTCAGTCTGCCCTTTGCAATGTAAAGTTTGTCATTGTTTTTTTTTCTGCTGGTAGTATGGGCACAATATTGTGCAGAGCCATTTCCTGTTGTTTTGAATACAGAAGCACAATATCCCACATTCATCAGATGAAGGTTCCCCCCCACCAAAGAATTGAATCTCTGTAGTTCCAATGCAATGTTAGTAGAGAAAGAAGTAAGCAAAAAAATGGTGCCTGATACTGCTGGATTCTTCCCACAAGACCATCTATCACCAGCTGCCCTGTGTGGAAAGCATCCTGATAACTTGCTATTGTTATACAGTATTTACTTTATTTTTTTAATTATTTGTGAAGAGCCCTATTATGAGATCCCTGTGTATAGCAGAGTATCTGCAGTGGTGTTTCCAGTAGGCTTTTGGACCCACTTTGTTTATTTATTCTCTGGAGCAACAAACTGGGCAGAAGCTGAATGTAAAGTAGTTGCCAAAATTATTTAGAAAATGAGTTTATTTAGAAAAGCCTGGCTCCTAACCTAGATAGGTGATGAAGTGCTAGGCTGAAGCACATTGTCTGATGGTGGGGGCATTGCCCACCCTTAAGAGAGAGAGATGTTAATGTCTTGAAAGGGAGGAAAAGACTAACTTAGGCAGGAAGCCATAAACCTTTACTTTCTTAGAAGCAATGGGAAGGTGGAGAAACAATCAATGAAAAGGGCAACTATAAACTGCTCTGTTTCCAAATGCCTCTGTTGGATAGAGGGGATGCTTCCAAAAAGATCTTACATCAGTTAGTTGTTAATAGTAAGGACTGTGGTTTCTGATGTATGCAAGACACCTTGGCAGGATGCAAATAATTATCATTAGATACACATGTAAATAAGCATTTGGTAGAACACATAATATGCCTGCTTGTCTGTCTAGCTGCCCAAAGCCCATCTTCAGGAAGTAGGTAGACTCTGCTTGCAAGATGCGCCAGATGTTTTTCCAGTGCTCTATTTCCTGAGCTACCTGATGTACATCTGAAGCAAGTCCATCAAATTCACACCAACTATATCTGCATATTGTGTTTGTTTAAATTTTTCTAATGCATAGTATTGTTCCTCCTATTTCCACTGCATAGCAAGGGCATTAATCCTGAAGATCTGTGGGGTGTGGTAATGGTGCAATGGACCACCTTGGGGCTGCTGAAGAACTTGATAAGTTTGAAGTTGAATACACCTCCAGCAGTGGTTGCAAGCAGCAGCGGCAGGAGCAACAACAGCACAGAGGGGTATAGGGTGCAGACTGTTGGCCTGGCACATTGGGAAATTCAGGCCTAAGCCCACCTTGAACTATGATGTTCACCGGGTAACTATGAAACAGCATTCTCTGTTAGCCTGACCTACTTCATATGGTTCTCATGAGGATAAAGTGCACAGAAGAGCAGCCATATACCCTGCTTTGAGCTCACTGGATGAAAAGCAGGATATAAATGTCAACCAGGTTTAGAAGAGTATGCCCTTTGCTAAACTCCTACCGAATATTGGTTAGTGCTCAATCATTATTAACCTAGTTTTGATGAAGTAGGACACTATCCTCAGTTTCTTTTTCCAGACTATATATCTTACGTCATTAGTGTTATCTATCCCTTTTTTTCCCCAAAAGGGGAAAGAAATATGCCCTTCATATTTTCATTCACCACATAGACTTTCTCTTATTTAAAATAATCTAATCAGGTGGTCAGAGGTGTCAGTGGGCACCTTAAAGTTGCATTTGGAAAAATTGTTTCTCAGAAATAACAACAAACCAAGCAAATTAATTTTGTCACTGGGCAAGGAGCTTTCCTTCTGCCACTGCCGAGCCTAGAAATAAATATGAGGATGTCACAGCTGCCACTAAATATGAGGAAGCTTTTGAAGACTTTTCTTGGCAAGTTCTAATTGCTGAAACCACTCATTTAAATAAAGCCTGGCCCGTGTGGATTGTGAATCTGCATTCCGTCAGCTTATGCAGCTGTTCCTTGTTTGCCCCAGTGGGATAAACCGAGAAATGCTATTTTTAAATGACTCTGTTAATGGTTGGCATTCTTTTGAAATCCTCTGTGTTGGACTTGTGCCTACCTAATCAAACTAAGGTGTCTAACTGGACTTTCAGCTCTAGTGTCACCCCAGGGTTTGGCCTGGTGGCCTCGTTTATCCTTTGTAATTTTCTGTTTCACAGGAGTGATAAACTTACACCTGTGCTGTATTAACTGAGACTTTGTCAGGTTCGCACTGTGATCATCTTCTTAACTTTTCTTGTTTTTCCTGGAACCCCCACTTGCATTTTCGTTTCATCCTTTTAAGGAGAAAAGTGGGACTTACATAAATAAATATTTTCCCCTACATGGCTGTAAAATTTTGTAGGAGATTTTTTTTTGCATGGAATGGTCAACATGTCTTTTTAATTTGTGCGTTTATTTGCACATTTTATCTATCATACACATTTTACCTTATTGCTAAAGTATACTGTAATTGTGTGTATTTTTTTAAAAAAAAAACTTAGCATTTTTAGACAGTCCTCTCATATAAACTGCACATCATTTTGTGAACATTTTATTTCTCTATGACGTTCCATATGTCCCGCAAACTGACAAATTCTTGAGGTAAGGTGCTTTTCTATTCAAGTTCTGGGTGCTGCAAAGAGACAAGATTAATCAGGCTGGCATATGCAGAAAAATTATTTTCTGCCCCTTATGGGAAGGCAAGACAGAATTTTACTTCTTACAGAACCAAATGAAACTAAAGAAATAGCTATGGCTTTTTAAAAACCCTAGAAGTCGAGGAGGAAGAGGCACCTTCTAACTAAGGCCAGTGCCTGAAGCATTTTGTTTTCTGGGCAAAGAATGCTCTGTCCCAAGCCACAATGCATGGCACTTAAGGCCAATCAAGTTATTTTGACACTCAAAGCAGAATATGAGGAGGCAGAATGTCCCACAGGCACCTCCCCACACCCCTGCAGTAAAAATGCAGTAACAATAAATTAAGTATTAAATATGTTGCTGCTCTTTCATGTCATCTATCAGCTGTCAAAGATGGCTGCCTCATTCTCTCTCATGGTAGGGTCAGCCCTCCATCTTTGTCTTGAAGGCACTAGGTATCAGGTGTGTTTGTGTGCTTTCAAGTTGTTGTGCTTAAATGGTACTGCAGAGCCATGGGTTTACTGCCTTGAAGAGATTTAATGACAAATATAATTATGGCCCTATATATTTTATTACTGTGATATTAATTAGGGCTTATCTGAACACTCATTATTGTTTTGTACCATCCCTTTCGCATCTCAAAGGTTCTTAACCTCTTCATAAGCTGTCCAGCTTTTCCCTTCCTTCATTTGATATTATTTAGTTAACCAAACTGAAACACCCTCCTGTGGTCCGTGAGCAAAACTACAAATCACCGTTAGGTAGTACCTTTATTGGATTAGTAAAAGAACAACAAAGGTCTCACCTTTTGAATTTTCCGGAAGTTTTCATCAGGCTGGGCATTACAGAACTTGAGCTGCTTGAAGAAACACGAGAGCCCAAAAATTATCTGTGCCAGATGTTAAAGTAATAGAATCTGAAGTAAGTCAGTGAGAAGGAAAAAAAGCAGTTGATTCTATGCATTAGGACTATGGTTTTAAGATCTGGCAACCATAATGGAGAATGAGGTTTCTTGACTTTTCCTCACTGGAATGGTGGATCGACCAAGGAATCTACTGTACTAGAATAAGTGCTGGAGCACAGGATTTTATAAGATCCTCCTTCTGGAAGTTCTGGAAGACACTCTGCTCTTGCTCAGGAGCATTTTTCTTCTCTAGGTAATTGGCTAGTATTTTTATTAGATATTGGCCATGTAACATCTTTTCTGGGAGCCCTGTACTGCTTCCCCAGTATAGCCAGATCAGATCAGATCTGTCCCCTTTCTCCATTGCCTCTAGCTGCATTTGTCTTGAGGGACTTCAGCAACCCACCATCTGGTATGTCAGAAGCTGTGCAAAAATATGCAAAAATGATCTTCATATTTCTGTTGGCATGGATGCAAATGAAATTATTAAAGTTGCAGTAGCCATTTTTGCCTCTCGCTTTTTGCAACTAAAAGACAGATTGTATTGAGTCAATATAAGATTATGCCTTCTTGCACAGAGAGGTTTGATTATGAGTAATAATATATGTATATTTTAATGCTTTCACTGCGTTTGATGTTTAATTGTCCTATATGTTTATGCATATTTATTGATGGAAGAATCCATACAGTAAGTATATTAGGGAGATGTAATGTAATTTGTTGAGATTTCTGTGTCTGAATTTGACATCTAGGCTTTTTTTAAAAAAGCCGTACACAAATCTTACATTTCTGGGGCCAAAAATCTGACATTTCTAAAGCCAAAGAAAAGCAACACATCAGTGAGGTGCATAAATTTATAGCACAGTTACTGTTCTTAGTATTTGTTAACTCATGGTACCAGTTGAGTCTGACTAAGCATCAAAATCAAATACTGTTAATAAAACTGTAGAGTTATTGTCAGAGCACTGCTGTTGTAGCCCAAGTGCAGATGTATTATTTATTATCAAGGGTTACGGCCCCAATGATCTCCAAAATTCTCCTAAAAACTCTTTCAGAACCTTAATCAATCAATCAATCAATCAATCAATCAATCAATCAATCAATCAATCAATCAATCAATNCAATCAATCAATCAATCAATCAATCAATCAATCAATCAATCAATCAATCAATCAATCAATCAATTAATTAATTAATTAGATTTCTACCCCACCTATCTCGTCTACTTGACCAAATTTTGAATCAGAATTCAAGAGAACCCCATCTTCAATGCAGCTAAAGTTAGCAATGACAGCCACAAGAAAGAAAAACATCTTACTGGGATTTTACTGACAAGAAACTATATAAGCCCAGATGTGCCTTGAGAATTTCTAGCAGAGATGTGACGTGGCCCTCTGACTCAGGTTCAGTGGTTCATGCCATTCATTTATTGGCCAAACAGGCGTTTGATGCTTCAAAGCCCCACCTCCTCCAGCAAGTACCCACTTAGAGGCAGCGCCTGAAGGAGCCGGGGCAGGAAAGCCAGGCTGCTGCCTCCAAGTGAGCACCCACCAGAGGAGATGGGGCTTTGAAGCGCCAAACACCTGTTTGGCTAATAAACGAACCGATGGTTCGTGCCCATCTCTAGGAGGGACCACTGATATACAAAGAACTGAGGACAAGGGAGTTGCTTTGTGGGTGCCCATAGCAAACCACCTCAGTTGTTGACCCAAAGTCAGGCAGCTCTCTTCAATCTTACATGTTTGATTCCTTAACCTTGGTTGAAATGACATCTCCCCCTTTTAAAAAAGCCAAATGTTGGCACCAAGCTGACTTAGTTCTGTCTTATAACAGATGTGTCGCAAGTCATTGAAGCTAGCATGGGACACAGAACCGAGCGCCACAGAACAATTGCAGAAGACACTGGACTATAAGTTCCTGGAACTGTTGGTGCTGTAAGTTTTTGTGCTTTTCTTGACTATACACAAAATATTCTCTTGTTTATGCTCATCAGCTATGCTGCAGCGGTTCTGAAGGACATCTATTCAGATAGTAGTCCCCTGGCTTCTCTTTTAGGAGCAGGGTGCCACGGTGAAATTGAATTCCCTCTCACAGCAGCATCCTTTCCATACAAAAGATCAGGAAGCTTCTGCACGGTCAATGCTTTGGGCCAAACACAACAATTGTACTGTGTTAATTAAATTTATTTTAATTATGTCCTCCTGATGACTATCTCCATATGATGTCGTGGTTGAACTGGGGAGATCCAGGATCTAGTCACCACTGAGCCCTGGAACTGCCTGTGTGACCTTGGGCCGGACCCTGTGTCTCAGCCTGATCTACCTCACAGGGTTGTTGTGAGGTAGATCAAACTCAGACAGACAGATAGACAGACAGTAGTAATGGCATCGGCAACACAAGGGTTCCCCCCCGTAGCAGATGGTGAAGACTGCAACGTGATCTAATTTTACAAGTCACATTTAAGGAGGGAAGGAAGGCTTTCATCAAAAATGGGGTGGGCGGAAGACTCTGGTCTATTCCCAGTGACTTTAGCTCTCCCCTTTCTGAAGCTGAACGAAGGGCCAGGGCTTATTAGACTGGCTTAACTTCTTCAGATTTCTTTCAGGCCATGTCTTTGGGCTTCTTCAGAGGCATGAATATGCTCAGTAGGAAGATTGTGTTTGCAACATAAAACTGAATGGGGACACAGGGTCATCCTGGTAAGCTTAGCTAATGAACTGATTATCACCAGAAGTCTGGTCTTTTGAATAACAATGAGGGAGAGAGGCTGCACTTGGAATCTGAGGTATGTGTATGGAGGTGGGGGAAAAGAACTTTGGAAAGGGGATTTCACTTGGGAAGGCTGACAGCCTGCTGAAGTAGTTCTCAAACGATTCAGACAATCCAATTATTGCAAGATTAGGCCACAGTTTCCTGTAGATGGTTCTTCAGTGTGTCGGAAACATGATAGAATTCCATGTATGCAGCCTTTGGAACTACTTCGTTAACACAAAATGATTTGTTCCACTCCAAAGGAATTGTTCTTCAATCGCAAAACTGTTTCCCTCTCTTTAGTGTTGGTTTCTTTCCTTTCTTCATTTTTCTAGTCACCTGAATCTTTCTAGCAACTGTACAGTAGAGATGAATACATAAATCTGGTCTGAAGATTGCAAGACTTTGCTCCATAAACAGATGCTGCCTCGAAGTAGCCTTTTGGTGAAGGCTCCTTTCACAGGGCCGAAAACAAGGGGATTTGCCCTTGAGTGTTCCCACTGTATGGAACGAGAGCAATGCAGCAACCCTCCACTAGGAATCAATTGCATGAGTGGATGGAATTGGACACCATGAATGGGCCATACACTTCTGTTTTCTGTTACATAATTCAAACCTTTGAATCAAGAAGATGGGCTATTGATCAAAGGGATCGGAATAAAAGGCACACCCTATCCTAAAAGATCTTGTGGGTTAAACAAAAGAGGCATTGCCAATAATTTCACATGCTTAATTTTACTACTAATGCATTATTATTAAATTCTGATGCAGCAACTGAATTGATACTTTTGAATTGTGGTGCTGAAGGAAACTCTTGAGAGTCCCCTGGACTGCAAAGAGAACAAACCTACCCATTTTGAAGGAAATCAATCTTGAGTGCTCATTGGAAGGACAGATCCTGAAGCTGAGGCTCCAATACTTTGGCCATCTCATGAGAAGAGAAGACTCCCTGGAAAAGACCCCGATGTTGGGAAAGTATGAAAGCAAGAGGAGAAGGGGACGACAGAGGACGAGATGGTTGGACAGTGTCATCGAAGCGACCAACATGAATGTAATCAAACTCTGGGAGGCAGTGGAAGACAGGAGGGCCTGGTGTGCTCTGCTCCAGGGGGTCACAAAGAGTCGGACATGACTTAACGACTAAACAACAACAACAAATTGAATTTCATCATTATTAATTGTGGGTCCTGTTGCTTAACTTTGAGCCCAGCATAGCCCAGATCTGGCGCCAGAAACATTTAATTTACACTAAATAAAAGCTTCTTATCTCTCTGTTTTAGATTCTGAGTGTCTCTAGGGCTCCTTTCCCCCTGTGGAAGCTGTTGAGACAATTGTGAACATGGCTATCTCAAAAAGGGGAGACAACCCCAAGTTCACAGGACTTTGCCCATGATTTAGAAAACATCATTATTAAATTCTTTAAAACAATCAAATTCTTATTGAATATTATTAAATTTGTTATATTTACTTAAACTAGTGCATAGAAAAAAATGTAAGTATATAATATGAGTATAATGAGTATATAATATGATTATATATTAATACTGTATAATATATTCCCTCTTCCAGCCAACCCAAGTGATTCATTGTAATTCTTTTTCAAACATTTTAATAATATTTCTTTAATTCTTTAATCATTTGTAAAAACAAAGGTTCCCCTTGACATTTAGTCCAGTCGCGTCCGACTCACGTTGCTGATCCCCGTTTCCAAGCTGTAGACCCAGCGTTTGTCCATAGACTGTTTCTGTGTTCACGTGGCCAGTGCGACTAGACATGGAACACCATTACCTTCCCACCAAGGTGGTACCTAGTTATCTACTCACATTTTTACATGCTTTCAAGCTGCTAGGTTGGCAGGAGCTGGGACAGGCGACGGGAGCTCACTCCATTGTGTGGATTTGATCTTATGACTGCTGGTCTTCTGACCTTGCAGCACAGAGGCTTCTGTGGTTTAACCCGCAGTGCCACCACATCCCTCTTTAATCAAAACGATCCTTTAATAACTTTCTTCTCATTATTTTTAAAATTTTAAAATTATTTATTTCACATGTGCCTCTACAAATGGTTACCATATCAGACTAAAATCCTCTCAAGGTTCCTTCTCTGCTGCAATCTGCTCCTCTTATTTGCCAGGTGTTTAGCCTGCTGTTCCATGTAAGGGAGTGCATATTTTTTCAGCTTACCAATGTTTTAGTCTTCAAAGATGCTGGAATGTAAACCAGAATAAGGATATTAAATCAGAGTAAAAACTTGAGGATGCACTTGGTATGATTTCAGAGGAGGTGAGACACTCTCTTACATTCAAGGGAGCTTCTCACACTAAGCAGCTTGTCTGTCCCTGAATAGCCCCACAGACTTTCTTGCCCTCTGCTTTGATCTGGCATCTGATCCTCTGCTTGTCTTCAACCCTGTCAATGGCCTGTGGCTCTTTAATTCTTTTGTGCTGGAAAAGGATCTCCAACTGTGCTTTGTCTTGGAGCTTGGCCAAGGCTTGACAAGGATATTATCCCCCCTCTATAAGGATTTCTAGAACAAAGGCTAGAATTGTGGGGTCGGTGAGTAATCTGGAATCCTAGGATGCCATGCCGTGTCACAAAACACTTTCTTTCCTTCTGTATTCAGAAGGAAGAAGCAGCAGGTGATAGTACAGAGAAGACCTTACCAACAAGTCAGGTTAAAGGCATAGCAAATCTTGAGGAGAGCTGAAGTTATCGTAACCGTTTCCTTGAAGGCACAGCGCTGGCTGTGTAGGATCAGATGTGTTGTCAGAAAGAATCCAGGAGAGAGAGAGAGAGAGATAGAAGAGAAGAGAAGAAGATAGAGGCAAAGATTAGGTAGACAGCCAATTTTCCTTTAAACGGACCGGTTTTTCTTTATGTGTTGCTGAAACTGTGAAGTTATTAATGGAGCTATTACATTTCATAACTGATGAGCTGCTTTGGGGGCTGTGGTCAAAAACTTGGATAAGTTTAAAAATTGGTTGTTGTGGGTTTTTCGGGCTCTTTGGCCGTGTTCTGAAAGTTGTTCTTCCTAACGTTTTGCCAGTCTCTGTGGTTGGCATCTTCAGAGGACAGCACTCTGAGCCTGAAGAGCCCGAAAACCCCACAACAACCATTAGATCCTGGCCGTGAAAGCCTTCGCAAATACAGTTTTAAAATTGTTTCTAGATAACTTACATGGCCCTTTCTAATGTTACATCCTGCTAGGCTGAACTGCCTAAATTTAGCCTAACTTTGTCCATAGTCCTACATTTCTTCTTTTTTTGTTTGTTTGTTTACATTTATTTATTTTTACACACAAAAAAAGGAAGACAAATAAGAAACAAAGATAAAGGAAAGAAAAAAAGGCTAAGGAAAAAAACTAACCCCTCAAATAAGACTAACCCCTCCCCCCTTTGGAGTCAGAGACTCCAGCCTCGTTAACCCCTCTGCTCCCCCAATTTCATTTCCAGTATATACTGAGTAAATATATATGTATCATAAACTTTGCCCTACACTCCTGTCTTCTTCTGGGCCCAAGAATATATTAGTTCCCAGCTTTGTTTTACATAGTCTCTTGGTTGTTCCCGTAGTGCTTCTGATAGAGTGTCCAGTTCTGCTATGTCCCATAACTTCTTTAACAACTCTTCTATCGTTGGAACCTCTTCGGTTTTCCATTTTTGGGCCCAGAGTAGTCTAGCTGCTGTGAGTATATATATAAGACAATGCTTCAATTTATTATCATTAATACCTGATATGACATTCAATAATGCCATTTTAGGTTTTATATCTAATTTCTGCTGGGTAATTTCTTTTGCTACATCCCATACCTGTGTCCAATAATTTTTGACCTTTTCGCATGTCCACCACATATGATAATAAGTTCCTGCATTCTTTTTACACTTCCAACATATATTGCTGTTACCCTCTGATATTTTTGCTAATTTTACAGGTGTGTAATGCCATCTGTAGAACATTTTAAGGATATTTTCTCTAAGATTTGCTGGTTTAAGCATTTTATAGCTTTCTTTCCACATCTTAGTCCAATCATCGAGATCCACACCATGTCCAAAATTTTTTGCCCATTTTACCATTGTCTCTTTCACCCTCTCATCCTCTAAGTCATATTCTAATAAGCATGTGTACATTTTTTTAATTATTCTTTCATCCGAATATATCCACAATCCATCCACTTGGACTTTACCCTCAAAAAACCCCACCATCCTATCTTTTTTGTAGTTTCTTAATTACCAAGTAGGTGATGGGCGGGTGTCTTGTTAGCTCCTCCAGGCATGTGGGGGAAATATACCCCCCCTCTGCTTATAGCTGCTTGTTTCCTTCTCTCAGCAAGGGTAGCAGCACTGTGGGGGTGTGCTGTTTTTTTCTTTTTTTAAAAAAAGGTGGATGTCCTGTGCTTTATTATTTCCAGTCAATAAAGTGTTTCACAGAATATACATATGGCCTTAGGTTTGTTATTTACTCACTTTTTCCAGGGAAGTTTCTGAGCGCACGAAGCTAGAGTCCTGAAGTCCTTCTGCGGAGTCTTGCAGCTTTAAACGCCATGTAAAGATGGCGCCGGCAGGATCTCTGTCTGAGGGAGAGATTTCCTGAGGAGGAAAGGTTGCTAGCCACCCCTCCTCGGTTCTCAGCCCCTCTCCGACTTGGGGGGGGGGAGATTCTCCTAGCTCCCCCTTACCCCTAACAAGAATTTTGGGGGAATAGACCCCACGGCAGCAGCCGGTTACCGGGAGACCCCAATTCCTGCTGCCTTGCACTGCTCTGGGCTCCACCCCCTCCCCATTTCTTTTTCAACTGTGAACTGAATTAAAGAAGTACAAAGACTGGTTGCCATATGATATCAATATGGCTGGCTGCTCCTGTGTAAAATTCAGAAACATTCAGTTCCTCCTGCCAACCCAAACCCACTGAAGTATCTTATGTTGAACTAGTAAAACCACTCCTGAAATATCTCACTTACCTTGAAAGCCCTATTGAGGTCCCCCTATAAATCGGTTCGGACTTGAGGGCACAAAACAAAAACAATGTGGTTAGGTGGAGGATCTTCTAGTGCAGGCAAGAGAAAGAAATTCCACTTGGACAGCATCTAATTAAATCTTTCATTGCAGTATTTAAATAGTTTAGTGACAGTGAATGTTTTATGCTTGTTTGAAGTGTTCCATTACACACAGAGTTACAGAAATTATTGGCAAGAGCCACATATGTTCAGTTCCTTTACTAGTAACAGATTACAGAGATGTTGGCACACGCAAGTTGTGACTTTAGTTCAGAATTACTGTCTGCTGACATAGTCATTGTTTTTCCTGACTCATTAAATGTACCACAATTGTCTCCTATACAGCCCCCCTCCCCATCTCCCCTTTTAAAGTATTAATACTTACTCTTTAAAGGCCCAGGGGAGGTCTGTTTGCATCTTACCACATAATGTAAATATTTTAGCTTCCTGCATATTATATGTTCTATGATTTCTTGGTCTTTTTTCCCCTATGCTTTAGTACTTCTTCATTGGCCAGTCTCTTGATTCAGTGAATTTTAAGCATCCTGCAATGAATCCACATTTCAAATACTTCTATCGTTTTCATTGTTCCCTGTGTTAGGTCTGTGGTTCTATGCCATATGGTAGAGAACATGGGATACTTAGTGTTATGCAATGTATATTCTCAAAGTCAAGTTTTTGTTGCATGTAGCATTCTTTGGCTTATGGAAGCTATGCTGGGCCACTTCTGCCTTTTATTGTGTGCCTCTGATCTCACTATCCCCTTCATGGATTGCTGCCTTGTAATGGTGAAGGGGCTTGAGCTATGGGCTATGACATGCAGGGACACCCAAAACGGACAGGTCATAGTGGAGAGTTCTGACTAATCGCGATCCACCTGGAGCAGGAACTCGTAAGCCACTCCAGTATCCTTGCCAAAAAAACTCCATGGACAGAAACAAAAGGCTCAGGTCGGAAGACAACCAACATGCTACTGAGGAAGAGTGGAGGACGAGTACTATCTCCAGAGCTAATGAAGTGGTTGGGCCAAAGCCGAAAGGACGCTCAGCTGCGGACATGCCTGGAAGTGAAAGGAAAGTCTGATGCTGCAAAGAAAAATACTGCATAGGAACCTGGAATGTAAGATCTATGAACCTTGGTAAGCTGGATGCGGTCAAACAGGAGATGACAAGAATAAACATTGACATCCTGGGCATCAGTGAACTAAAGTGGACGGGAATGGGCGAATTCAATTCAGACAATTATCATATCTACAATTGTGGGCACAAATCCTGTAAAATAAATGGAGTAGCTGTCATAGTCAAGAAAAGAGTGGGAAAAGCTGTACTGGAATATAATCTCAAAAATGATAGAATGATTTCAATACGAATCCAAGGCAGTCATTTCAACATCACAGTCATCCAAGTTTATGCACCAATCACCAATGCTGAAGAGGCTGAAGTTGACCAGTTCTATGAAGACTTACAACACCTTGTAGAACTGACACCAAAGAAAGATGGGGACAACAGAGGACGAGATGGTTGAACAGTGTCATCAAAACTACCGACATGAATTTGACCCAACTCCGGGAGGCACTGGAAGACAGGAGGGCCTGGCGTGCTCTGGTCCATGGGGTCACGAAGAGTCAGACACGACTTAACAACTAAACAACAACAAAAATCTCAGTTCATTCAGCTAAATTCCAGAGTACTTATATTTATGAACATGTTCCTCTTTTTCATTTTGGACCTTCAACTGCATTTCTTGGGCTGCTTTGTTTTTGCTGATTAGCATGAACTTAGTTTTCATAATATTCATTTTCAGACCATAGCCATTACTTACTTCATAGAATTTACAGAATAACCCCTGCATATAATCTAAAGCATCATCTAGTAATGCTGTATCATCTGGATACTGGATGTTATGAAAACCTCTCCACTGACAGTGATGCTTTCATTTGAATCAGCAAGTACTACTTTAAAGACGTTCTGAGAGTACAACCTGAAAAGCAGTGGCGAAAGTATACATTCAGGCTGCTGGTTATGCCTATCTCTTCAATCATGACTTTTATTTCTCAATAGCTCTATCATCCTGCCACGTTTGATTTTGTCAAAGGCTTTCCCATAGTTGAAAAAAAAAGCATACGTATCTGTGCTAATAGCACAGTACTTCTTCCCATGTAGGCAGAACACAGCTTCCATGGTTCCAAAACATCCTCTGAATCCAAATGGTGTGTCTCCTGCCTCCTCCTTGTACTTCAGGCAGTTTCTGCCATATATTAGTTCTAAAACAGCCTTAGTCAAATGGCTCATTAAGCATTTAAAATTTTTTATACTATTTTATGTTGTTAGCCGCCTTGAGTGGTCTTAACTGACCAGATAGGCGGGATATTAAATAAATAAATAAATAAATAAATAAATAAATAAATAAATAAATAAATAAATAAATAAATAAATAAATATCATTTTGTAGTCAATACAAACTTTGCCATTTTACTTTTGGGTCCATATAAGTCAGTCTCAGCCTAATTTCAGGTATGATTTCTCTTCTATAGATTTGATTGAAGTGAAACACCCAACACTACTCATAAGCACTGGAATGGCCTGCAATGCAACATGTGTGTTTCAGCTTGAGAATGTAGCTGATGGCAATTCAAGACCCTCCTTTTGTGTGATTGGAAGTCCACTCCTCTTTATGCAGAGTGGTCTTTGGCCTGTCATTTTCCTTTGGAAACAACCTAATGTTCTACAAAATAACCGTTCAAGTACCTGCGCTGTGCTCGTTACACTTTAAGATGTGTTTGAAGCTCTGTCCAATGTTAGAGTGCAGTAATGGGCTGGTAAACCTAAGTTCACGAGCCTCTGCTGTCTCCCTTATTCCTCTTTACTGGTCATGTCTGTGCTCTTTCTGACTGGAGCAGAAGGTAGGAGTCAATTCTGTATAAACCAAGAGCACTGCAGGGAGACATTACCCAGACCTTTACTAGCCGTCCTCTTCCAAATGACATAAAAAGTGTTTTATACACCTTAGTTCTCAAAAGAGGCTCTATGCGCTGATTTATGCTGACCTCCACTGATGCCAGGGATTTCTCCCAGGCAAGCCTAGATGTTAAATGGATAGATCTAGGTACTCAAGACTGGAGAGTGCCCTTTTGCACATTCAATTAATTTCAGCAGGGCTTGCCCAGGAAACCCTTGTGATGAGTGAGATGAGAATACTGCTGGAAATGGCATCCCCCCCCCCCGGTCAAGCTTGCTCTCTCTCTCTTCCACAACATACCAGATTGTTTATCGTGTTTCATAGATAGGAGATGTTGCTTTTTCAGGCAAAAGGAAGTGTTTTCAGCCACTGCTCCCTGGTTGGGGAGTGCCCTGCCATAGGCAGCCAAATTTCTCCCCTCCTTGTTTTCTTTCTGCTAGTAGGCAAAACTCTTATCCCAGGGTGACATATGGCATGCTTTACTGTTTGCTCATGCATTTGCACATTTTGAAAAGCCTTTTTACACTGTTTTTCAGTGAGTGATATTGTAAGATTATTATGTTTATTTATTTATTTTAGTATGACATCTTATTGTGTGCATATGTTTTTATTTATTTATTTATTTTATTCACTAGTGAAATGCCTTGGGGTCTTACACTAGGAAAAAGCCAGCATAGAAATGAAAAAAAATAAGAGAAGGATAATATAATACACACACACACACACACACACACTGCAGAAAACTTCTTGAGAAGTGATTGTTTTGCTCTTCTGTACGAGGCAAGAATCTTACCAGGGTCTATGAACTTTTGATTGGCTGTCTCCCCATTTTGAGATAGTCTTGAGCAAACTCAAGTTGCACCAGCTCTCCCTGCAGGGTATGTCTTGGAAGAGGACTGCTCACGCCATCAGTCTCACAAGAGGGCATCACTACTCCCAGTATTTGTGAGCATAGGTAGCACATCACCTGGATCATAGCTCCTTGTAACCTGAAACCTTAAATCAAGAAGTGATAAATAAGCAACATAATTCTGCTAGTTTTTCATCTGATTTCCTGGACCTACATGGGTCCAGTTTTTATACCAGCTGAAGGCACACAAATGAGTTTATTTAGAGATTTAACTAGGGATCTTTGGAAAATATACATGTATCATAATCTCTCTCTCTCTATCTATCTCTGTGGTGTGTTGCAGTTTTGAATCAAGAAGCAACATTTCAGACAGGTTAAAGAAGGCTGGAGCAACAAATCAGAGCTGCAACCAGCAATTTGTAGTAAGTAAAACTGCCTGGTTTTTTTTTTTAAACAACTTAATCAGTTCTTCTGTGTAAGACATTGGTGGAAATGAGACATAAGTAAATCCTAGGGTTCCATTTCACTTTTGATGCAAGATCGGTTTCATATCAGCTATGCTGCAGAAGCCTGTGCTGCAGGGTCAGAAGACCAAGCAGTCATAAGATCGAATCCACGCGACGGAGTGAGTGCCCATTGCTTGTCCCAGCTCCCGCCAACCTAGCGGTTCAAAAGCATGCAAATGCTAGTAGATAAATAGGTACCATCTCGGTGGGAAGGTAAACAGCGTTCCGTGTCTAAATCACACTGGCCATGTGACCACGGAAAGATTGTCTTCGGAGAAATGCTGGCTCTATGGCTTGAAGAGCGGGATGAGCGCCGCCCCCTAGAGTCGGACACGACTGGACAAAAATTGTCAAGGGGGACCTTTACCTTTACCTTTATGCCTTTCTAGATTTCTGAAATGACTTGGGAAAGAGAAGGATAATATACTCATAAGGAGGTGTTGTGAGAATCACTGGATAAAAGGGAGGGGAAGAAATTAGCCACAAGAATCTTAAGAAAAATATTTAAAATATTTGAAGTTAATTGTGAATTTTGGTTTTGGACAAATTTAAATAACTACACAAAGACCAGCTTTTCCATGTGAATATGTGGAGATGATGTTTATGAGTCTTCACAGATTCAGCTTAATTTTCTGGTTTTTGATACTGTTTTGGGAGAATATTCAGTGAATCAGTTTGAGCAATATGGAAAAGCCAAGACAAAACTGAAAATCCTTCTCATATAATCCTGCACAATCCAGTCATACCAGAACTATCACCTCGTGAAACATTATGGATCCTCTTCTGTATATTGTAAAGCAGTAGAAGAGGAATTGATACAGCGTGAATTAGTGGGATTTCCAGCATATTAACTGCCAGCATATCAATGGAACCAAGTTGGCATGATCTGTGAGTTCTCACTTGCTATGCTAAACATTTTTGAATTAAGATAAAAACTAATTTCACTCTGGCCAACAATTTAACCTTAGTTGTGTTATAAATCAATGGAGGAATGCTTTTTTTTAAAGTTTAGCAGCCTGAGTTCTACAAAAGAAAGCACTATTTTTAGATACCAAGTTCCATCCTTAAATCAAGCCACTTCTGAAATATTAGGCAATGTTTTGTACTCAAAATGATTAACTGTTATTGCAAATTTAGACTATATCCTAGAGCAAGATGTTAATAAGCATTTGCTACCTCCAATTTCAGCATGGATGATTCAAGTGATCTAGTCTCATCAGTCCTTCTGTATTTTAAACATTCTTCAAATGCAGCTTAATACTGTAGTGCATTATGCAAAATGAAATACAAGATGACAGTTTAGAAATCCATTCATCTCAATTCACTGCTTTATAACTTCCTGCTAGCTAAATGATATCAACACTGCTGAGATGTCAGAGTGGTTTAGTTCCGACATGATAGCTGGATACATGCAAAAAGTGTTATTATGAAAAGTGATGCCTTGAGAGCAACACAACACTTTTTCAATGATAGTTACGGGCATTTGATTTTCAAATACAGCCTTTACAAATTGAGTGTGACAGTCTGTTTTGTTAAAACTCTAGAAAATTTCTATTTTGTTTTGAATCTAAGGACAGGCAATTGTGTACTTTCTGTCCTGGATTTGTTATTGATGAAGCATGAACTCTTCTTTCAGAATAAAGTATGCAAATTCAGTGCATCTGTTTCTGCTTCCAAGATTATCAATTAAACTTGCATGAATTTATTTATCTTATAGTTTAGTGTGACAAAGGGTAAGAGCAAGTAGAGCTTCTTGGACCTTGGCTATGTAAATAAGAGACTCAAGGATGAAAAAAGGACATAGGGAATGAGATTCTAACTTACCACTATAACTATGATGGCAACACAGTTAGGGCTGTCTTCACTAGAGTTTTCACATTTGTGAGAAGATTTTTTTTTGCACAATGAATGCATATTGTGCAAAACTACAACAGCTGCTGCATTGCTGCCTGGTCTTTCATAAATTAGAAACACCAGATGGGGTTTCACATCTTTTTGAACAAGTTGCCCATCCTTCTGTGTTTGCTGTGCATGCTTGTGCACTTTGCTTCATTGACCCTTAATTATGATAAATCCAATGTTATGCTTTTTTTTTTCAAGAAAGAAGGTAAAGCATAAATGAAAATTGATAAACATCCTATCGAAAGGTTACATCTATTAAATGCCTAGATGTTATTTTTCATTCTTTGGGAACATGGTATCTACATATTAGATATGCCATTGAAAACACCCAAAGAAGCAAAAGTGCTCTTCCAACCTTCTTTTATACAAAAGGAGAATATTAGCTAGTTAGCTGCCATTCAAGTATTTCAGGCTAAAGTTACTTCACAGATGTTAGGTTATGTTATACTGTATGTTAGCTTTGTGCTTTTAGAAGTTATGCCCAGATTGAAGTTGCATAAACAGAGTTCCTTTGCTTAATCCTAGGAACCCTGGATTAGATTCCCAATGTGTGTGTACATTTAGAGATGGGGCACATTTCCATGTAGGCATGGGGATGGGTTCTTAAGATCCATTACTGGTTAAGGTTAATGCCCCCCCCAAGCAGGTTTGGTTTGGCCGCACTGACTTTAATTGATATGTATCCCTCAGAACGGAAAACAGTGCTCCACAATAAATTTTGTAATCTCAGTTTTTCATCTAGTAGCTTGATAGCACTAAGGGTACAAAAAAGCCATGAAACACATATCTCAGACTTTTGATGGACAGTTGTATTAGTTTCACTGTCTTATCAAACTGAGATGATGGCATACTGTCATAACAGCAAGATGTCACTTATAATATGACTAGGTCCCTTGAATACCTGTGAAACCAGCGAAATGCCAGGAACATAAATTGCTGGTGAATGCATTTGATAAGGCACCAATTTGCTGTTCTTGCACTTCAATACACTAGGAGTTTCGGGGTCTACAAACGCCCCCACCCATTGTTAAGGGTTTTTTAAAATCAATGTTTACATGTCCACACTCAAGTATTAGCTTGCAAAGAAAGATATCCCTTGTGAGTCAATGTTATCAGCCTTGCTTTCCCTGTGACAGCTGGGATGGAGAGCTAGCTGATTGTCTTGCAGTGACTTTTGCTACACAGCCGTTCAAACCTAATTGTTAAAGCACAATGCACATTTTCATTATTTAATAGTTTATACATATAAAAACATATTAACACTCAATACATGCAAAATTTATTTTAACAGTATATACATACAAAATTTCAGATGTTTAAATAGGGCTTGCTACTAGGCAGGTAGCTGTAGAACTGCCGTTTGAATATCATAAATCAGAAGCAAGAAACGTGGGTCTCTGGATGATGGACTGTAACTCACACAAGTCGTTATCAATGGCAGAGAAAAAATATGTTGTGCATCACTAGAAAATTCACAACATCTGGAGGGATATGAAAAATGAGAAAGTTGACTTGGAAAAGAGCATGTTTTCTTAGGAATATAACAGATTAATAACATTATCAACTATTAATAAATGTGTTAGAAATGTCATGTGTTATGAAAAAAAATTGATCACAGTCCCTTAATTCTTACATATATCCTTTCTTCTACTGTATTTTAATTTTGTTGTACTGTTGTCCTGACTTTATACTGCTGGTCTAAGGTCTCCTTTTGTTGCTTTGCTTCACAAAGAGAAAAGACATTAGTTTTGCACAGAGAAATTTTATACAAAATCCAGAAAGAAATCTTGAGGAAAGAAAATACTGTAATTCTTGTCTTATTATTGCATTGGAGGCACAGAATCATGTGGAGTTTTAAAACACTTTCTCAAGCTATCTGTTTGTGGTTGGAACACCTAAATGGACAAGATGGTGAAGTTAGCAGGCATTCTTCACACCCCTAGACAAAATTCAGGGTTGCCAAAGTGGAGTGAGTCTGCTGAGAGCAGAACCTGTAAATAACATGCTAATGTAACACATTAACACCAAATTGCGACTTTTGTGTTAAATACGACAAGCTAACTTATGCATTTGGAGAGTAATGTTTTAAAACGAATGTTTGTAATATGAATTCATTGCTTTGAAAACAGTACCCCATAAGGACTAGATGCATTTCTCCTATATAACATCTACTGATTTGGGTGTTAATCTGGTAAAATGACACATTACTTCTAAACTGTGGCTCAGAGTTAGTAATAAGCATGAATAATGAGTCGAAGAGGAGCAAACCCATTAACAATGGGCCAGATACAATATAAAGAAGAGGTTAAAACACTGGACAAAATAATATTTGTCTCTGACCAGTATGGACATGTTTATAGCCATGTTCAATTTAACATGTTGTGTTAAGGCAATAGTGGGCAACTCTGGGAACATTTTTGTGAGCCCCCCCCCATCCCATTGATTTTATTTTAAAAAAATCTGAAGGTCTCCTAGTACTCTTTAGAGGGCATGAGGACACTTTTGCGATCTTTTGAGAGGCCTAGCACCCTGGGGTCCTCAGACAGTTCATTTCGTTTTTTAGAAAAAGAGTTTTATGGCCACTAGAGCACACAAAGGGCTTTTTCATTATTTTAAAACATGTTAATGCATTTTTCAGTTAACAAAACCATGCTGTAGCAAACTTTAGAGTATGTAAGTGGTTCATTTTTTTAAAAAAAAATTGAATTGCAATCTAAATGGGCAATAAGGGCTCGATTACACCATCATCTGTGGAACCTGAACACTTGAAACAGTGACAGGGGCTCTGCAGGGCTCAGGTATCCCCACATCTAAAAAAAGAAACGCCAAGGTCTTTGATAGTAGTAGATGTAGCAAGAGTAGAGCCATCTCTTTACTAAACCTGGGATCCAAATAACTGCTATATGTACCTCCATTTGAGTTTTATTTTAAAAACCTGTTTAAAGTGAGGCCCTGAGTTTCAAAAGAAGGTTGCTACGTGCCAGTGAGAGCTGCTGTCTGAGAACCAGAGCTGC